TTAATTTTTGTTGCATTAAAATTATATAGTAATTTCTATGTGCACTTTTAAATTTTAAAATGTCAACATTACATTATGCGACATTATGTTTTGCATAATGTAATGCACATAATGCAAAATGCCCATCTCTAATAAAGATATGCTGCAACTGCATCACAAAGAGAAGCAGGAAATTGATTTTGTACCGCGAGACGATAGTCAATTGCTAATTTTAATGAGATTTAGTAAAAATAGTTACAATAGTGACAGGTGAAGTATTATTAACTTGAGTAACTTACAAAAAATTCGAGTTTTAGTATATTCTGCGTATTTTGTTGTAAAACTTCTACTGGATTTAGGTGAACCCAGATAATATGCACCACCGTGCATATGGAGTATTACTTTATCAATTTCATTATTTCTACTTTCATCTTCCTTAGTATATACCCATTCCCCATACAATCTATCCTTTGGTTCTTTCCATTTCTCGTCTAATACATCTTCATATTGCTTTAAAACTTTTTCTAAATGTAATCTGCTCTTTTGCCTGTATCTTTCATCTAATATAACTTCTTTTATATTTATATTGGGAGGAACCTTAAAAGCGCCAGTAAGTTTAATAAATTGCTTTTGAGCCTTTTCGATAGGTAATTTCGATCTATCTTTATCGCTTTGTCTAATCATTGCAATTGTTATATGAAATCCTAAATCCCATGATTTTCCAGGTGGGCCTTCAGTATAGTGTTTTAATATGGTTGTAAATAATGCACAGAGAGACATTTTGTTTAATTATTTATTTAGACAACCATGAAAAACGTACAATCTTAAATACTTTAATTCTTTTCATGGAAAATTTTTAAATTGGTTGGTAAATCGATTGACCGATATGAAATAAAAGCAGTAATTAATAAATAACATCCCCAATAGTTACCAAAGAAAAAATAATTGATGATTAAAATCAATTGACAAGGCAATTGATTAGAATCAATTGGAGTAAACTGTAATTATGGTTGGGGTTGAGAATCGGTATTTCTACTTTAGTTAATGACCGAACCCAAATATACCAGAAACGGAGTGCAACGAAGAGTATATGGTTTAAAAGCTAGTGAAAATATCCAATTTGGAGTCATCATCATGTAAACATCGATTCTGATTGATGCATCTGCAACGATCTTTCAAAAATACGATTTCTAATCAATGTTATTTGAATTTTCAGGTGATTTTATTATGAAAATTTTTATATTCCACGGCCCCTAATGTTCGCCCGTGAACATTTCTAATGATATTTTTATGATTAGATCCAATACGGATAAATTCGTCATCCATTTATCCGTATCTGAATTATTTGAATAATCCATATCGGATAAACAGATTAGAATATCCGGATAATCTGACAGATACTCAGATAATCATTCGAACATCAATAGTAAACGGATATCATTACGGATATCTAATGGATAAATGGATATATAGATAATGGATGGGATCACTATTTATGATGATGTAACGCCGTGAAATACATTAGATATTCAACGGTGTGCCGTGACATCATGTATTACCACGGCTTCGCCGTTCTAATCCATGATATTCACAGTAGCCTGTGGAATATATATTACATATTAAATTATTTAAGCTCCGTACATAACTGATTTGGGAAGTTTCAGTACAATTATAGTGCCGTCCAAACCTAACTAGTTTGGAACTTTGGGACTTTCTAAGGTATTAACCATTATTTGGGACTAGTTAAAGCCGTGGAACTTGTCCCGAACTTACTGCATGAAATGGGATTTGGGACAAAATTTCAGTTATAACTAGTTTGGACTAATAACTATTTGGACGGCAACTATAAGGGTATATTAACACTTTATCGTGTTACAAGATAAGCCTTCATTAAACACAATTAGTGAATGACACCAAAGTCAACAAGATAGAAAATATGCATTTGAATTAGTTGCAAAATGATTCGCCAGTAAGTACAAAACGACATTTTTATTAACAAAGTAATCAGAAGAAAAAGAATTCAAGTATAGCATATATTTATCAATTAAAATTCATTCATCGTAGTCCTCTTCTGCTCTATTTTTATCAATATTAAATCTTTTAAACGTTTTTTTCTCTTTCTTTCTAAATTCACCTTCTCCGACCCTTTTCAAAATTGCAAAATACAAGGGACCCCAACCATCACACTTATCCGGTAAGACAATCCATCCTTTTTCACATGATTCTCCTATTACCCACTCTCTCTTAACTTCTTCTAAAGGCACCCAACTATTCTTTAATATTTTCTTTACAACTTCTTCATTTTCAAACTTATTTATCGAACAAGTAACATAAACCAATAAACCACCAACATGTATACCTTTAACAGCATCTAGTAGTATTTTGTATTGTTTTTGAGACATAATTTTAGATCGGGACGGTTTCCATTTTAAAAATTCGCTAGGAGAATGTAATAAATGACGTTCAGCGGAACATGGAGCATCAACTAAAATTTTATCATAAGTAGGTAGTGAGAGAGTTAAATCTAATGATAAAATGTTTATATGATGTTGTAATGAAGGTGGAATGTAATCAGTTATAACTTGTTTTAGACGTCTACATCTACCAGGAGATGGATCATTTGCTGTTAGGAATCCACTATAATCCGTATTATTACTGTTGTGAATAATGGAAGATAACAAATATTGGAGGATGACAAGACTTTTTCCACCAGGAGCAGCGCATAAATCTAATATGACATCGGTAATATTTAAGTCAAGTGCTTTAACTACCATAATACTTGCAGCATCTAATAAATAATAGTTCAGTATCCCATTTTCATCCTTTTCTGGTTGTTTAAACCTTTCAGAAGAAATGTAACAAGGCAAATCGATAAATGAAACCTGTTCAATATTAGGAGTAGTTGATAAAAATGATTGGATGTGCTTAGGAGAAGCGAATTTGTTGACAAGTGCGCAATATTTGGTAGGATTTTGTAAAGATTGAAAAAGTTTTTGCCAACGCTCCTGTCCATATTGTGATGAATAGAAAGAAGAAAATTGAGAAAGAGTTACGGAATGATGTAAAGAATGTTTCAAGAAAAGTTTTTTTTTGTTTTTTGAAAGAGAATTAAATTTTTCAGAATCGATTGGTTGAGGTTGTTTAAAATTGTTTAATGTTCTTGTAGAACAAAAACCTTTAATTGATTTCGATCCTAATATATGTCAAAATATTTTTGATATTCTTAAATTTTCATATTTTTATTTTTTAAATGTGAATAAAGAAAAATAAGAGATTGCGAAATCAATACTTACCCAAAAACCGCCTAAAATTCATCGGAAATATTATTATTCGAAATTTGACAAAATCCATATAAAGAACCTTTATAGAACTAAAAAAAAATATAAGAATGCATATTAAGAAAATCTGATTGGCCCAAATCTTGTTATCTAAAAATTAACGCTGATTAAATTAATCATGTTTTAAAATTTTAGTTAGATAAAAATGTAAAATTCCTTATATAATATTATAATGAACATATTATCGTCAAAGATCTGTTTGTTATTAGAACTTTTTTTTTATTTTTATTCTTTTTTTTTTTTTTTCAATAATTACGCTAACAATGCCTGATAAATATATAATACTAGACAAATTTTTGCGAATGCATTAGTCGTTTCGAAAGTTTCATAGAAATGTCAAGGCATGGCTATTGTTATTTTCAAACGCAACGATAGAACGTAAAAAACGATTAAGTGAAAAGAAAAACGATTGGGCGTAGAAAAAAACGATTAAATGAAAAAAAAAAACGATTGAGTGAAGAAAAAACGATTAAATGAATTAAATGTATAAACGAAGAGGCTGACATTTTCATGTTAATGACTAAAGCAAATAAAAGACGAAGCTTTGTAAACAAGATTTAGGAATCATCCGCCAAAAAAGGTATCGAACCGGTTAAGCCAAGAAAAGAAAATATGTATGTACTATATAATCATAGGATTGAGACCCGAATTTGGTTCGTGCTAAGAAACATCTTTTATCTCCTTGGTTTAGGCCTTCGAACTCTTTCAACGCTTAATGCGATACCAGTACAACTGTAAATAAAAATAAACAATTAATATATTCATGTTAAGAAATTAAAATAACGGGATCTGCAAGGCTGGCGTGTGCCCATGCCTAAAAAAGGCCACGCATGAGCACGAGCACAGGGAGCCTAAAGTTGTTGGGCACTTTTGTAAACGCAGGCGCCAAGTGCCAGGCATTTTGTGTTATAAGCATAAAGAGCTGGTCTAATTTACTGGGCATTAGGACACAAAGTGCTTGTCCCAAAGATGTCTGGAACTTTACATTTCGTGCCTACAAAATGCCTGAAATTTTTGTGCAGGCATTCCCAGCGGAATTTGCAGATCCCTAATCAATAATCTTAGAACATAAGATATAAAACTCACCAGACTGCACCTTCGCTTACTGCAGCATGATACGCGGTTTGTGTGGCGAAATCGGCAAATGCGCAAGCCTGATTGGAATAATATAAGTGTTAATTTTATTTCTCAAATTAAAATGTTTTCATGAAATTCAAATGAAATTCAAATAATACTCACTTTAGAAGGTATCATATCGATATTTTCAACGGCACCAAAAGCGTCTTCGAGACATTTCTTTAACGTTTCTTTGTCAATCCCATCTGTAATGGATCCGATAAAAGCTCGACAACTTTTAGAAACTAAATTACATTAAAACGAAATCAAAGGATCCGCAGCAATATATATCCTTAATTCTATATATATTTTTTTTTTTAAAAAAAAAAAAAAAAGAACCTTGATCAAATAATGATATAAACCTTGTTTGCCACGGGTTTTAGGCGCTGTAACCTTACTATTTAAATCAAAAGACGAAGATGTTCCTAAGTGGCCAAAATTGTCGCCTTGTTTACGTGATGATCCTGATACAAATGGACTTTTCTGTGTCAAATCCTGAAGAAGCTCGTTTTGAGACTGAACTATTTTTTGATATTTGTCTACGATAGCTTCTTTTTGTTCAAGTTGCGCTCTAAGCGCTTCGCAGTTTCGACAGGGCTTTTCATTCGAACCCATATTTTGAAATTATATCGTATCGTTGCGACGGAAATTTTGTTTCAAAAAAGACCGAGGAGACCAACTAAAAGAAGTGAATAGAGGCTTACAGATTTTTTGGTGCTATTTAATGAAGCTTATATAAGTGCATGAGTAAGGTCAGGTGATAAGCGTTTGGTGACTTCAAATGAATAACGTGAGCAGTTGATTCGTTTGTAATATGCACGTCAATATCAGTAATGCAATCAACGATCGGGAAATTGTTTATGATCCGGCAATTTGCACAAGGACGCCACGGAATTTCATTACAAACCCCGAACCCATTTTGAAAATAATACAAATAAAGACGTGAACGTCATATAGTAATTACTTGCAGCTAATTACAGAATCCAAAGTTGTCAATGCAACCGATCAGCACTTAAGATCGATTGGCCCTTTATAGAATCAATGAAAGAATACATGTTTGGTCGAAAAAAAAACCAATTATACTGCGGAGTTTCAAGGTTACTATCCGTTCCGATCTGTACCGTAGAAATGATAGTGATAGTGATAGATAGTGATAGTAACAGTATCACGCAACGACTCTAATTAGTTAGTGTCAGGGTAAACCTCACGCGAGTCTAGAATTAGCATAATATCATAATATCTCAACGTGAATCTAGTTTGCCTTTTACGTATTTTATTATTATTATTGTCAAATATTTTTTTTTGTGTCACATAGAAACAAGAAAATATATTCTCCTTATTCTCATCATTACATAATGTTGTACCTAAAATTTAGCAATGATTTTTTTAAAGTTATATAAATCAATCATTTAAGATTTTTTTTTTTCTTTTTTGATAACGATAAACGTTTTCGTGAATGTTTTTAATTTTTAATTTATTAAAACAAAAGAACATATGAACTTCAACCTTGTGTTAAAAGAACCATCGTAATTGGCTTATTTCATGAAATTTGGGTTGCACAATTGTCGCACTATGGTTTCACCAACGAGGTATTTCGACCGCGCGCTTAATAGAATTTGATTTTCTTTGCTTATTATAGTAACTGCTGGTATCAATATTGCAATCCGTTTTTATTTTAAAACGAAAGATAAGTTGATCCACATAAAGCATTTATTAGAGTTAAAGAAGCTTAAAAAGGTTCATGGTTTTTTCCGCTCCCTCTAACTCTTATCAAGATGCAACGATCTTTGCTCCCATTCATATTAGTTCCTTTGACTTTATTAAGCTGGCTAAGAGCCTATCTTATATATCATGAGGCGGTTGCCGGTCTTTATGGTGTTCAAGTAACGGACTATTTAAAGAATGAGTCGACCGAGTTGCCAAAGTTTGATAATCTTACGATTGATGACCGACCGGAAAATATCTTCCATTTCATACAGGTTTTTATTATTGTTTAGGTTTTTGCTCAGGTTTTGATCGCTTAATGTTTTCGAATTTTCTTATGCTAATATTATTGATTTAGGTATCAGATCTACACATATCCAAATATTATAAACCTGGCGGTGCTTCTCATTTTTTATACTTTCTTTCCTCTGCGCTTCCTGTTGTTTCGCCCTCTTTTGTGCTTGTAACTGGTGATTTAACCGATGGAAAAGACCAATATAATGGTAGATCGCATCAGATAATTGATGAATGGACAACATATCAAACTGCATTACAAGTATGGTTCCCAAATATATCAATATATCATACCTCTTTTAGATTTCTTTTTAATATTTAATTATAGGAATCCGGTGTTCTCAATCGTACAAACTTTTGGTACGATATGCGTGGAAATCACGATTGTTTCAATGTGGGCTCTTGGGATAGTGATCAAAACCTATACAGATTATACAGCGTTGTAAAAAAAAGAGGTTTTGATTTTACGGTAGAAAAAACCTTTGGTCGATATAGGTTCATTGGAATTGATGCATGGTGTGTTAATTTTCTATGACTCCTTATATAGATCTATATATTTATATATATATCAGATTTTAAGTATTTGATTTTTTTTAAAAAAAAAAACTTATTACTTTCTCTAGCCCAAAATCTGGCCCCGCAAGACCTTATAATTTTTTTGGTTATTATGAGATCAATGATATGGATCGACTATCTGAAAAGTTATTAGATTCGTCTATAAAATCTAATCATACTTTCTTGGTAATATTCATTTCATTATATTTAAGCCTATCAAATTTATACCTCTCTTGATTGAATTCGCTGATTTAAAATATTTTTATTTTATATTAGCTCGCTCACTATCCTAAAGCTACATTATTATATGGAAGAACTTCTAAAGGTGAAACTTTTGAGGACTTATCAAATCATATCAGCGTTTACATGTGTGGCCATTTGCATAAACTCGCTATTGGTAATATTATTACTTTTCAATGTTCAATAGTTTAAAATTGGATTACATGATATACATGATATCTTATTATTATATAATTATCTTATTATTATATAATTATTATTATATAATTATATTATTATATAATATCTTATTATTCTTTCGTTTCCTATAGGTCTTGGTGATCACTTACAGATATATCGACCTACTAATTATCTAGAGTTAGAACTAGGAGATATGAAAGTTAATGCTGTTTATCGTATCTTAGCTATTGACCATGATTTAGTCAGCTTTATTGATGTCCAATTACCTCTACCCGAAATTCCTTTAAGAACCCCTCCGCCACCGGCGGTTGGTTTTTCGATTTTGCCTGAAAAATTGTCCTATCCACCGATCATATTAATTACTAACCCTAAAGGATCCGCATACAGTATGAAATATCGTGAGCCTGTACATAGAATAAAATATAGTACACATATAAGGATGTTAATATTTTCAGATCATAATATAGATAATATTACCATCTCTTTGGATGGAAAGGTACATGATCAAGATGTGAATTACAAGGGAAATTCTAAGAATGATAAAGAATATTTACCCCTATGGACTTCTCAATGGGATCCTTCGAAATTTGACGATGGTAAAGATCATGTAATTGTTGTCAAAGCCCTTGATACTTCGGGTCAAGTAGGTGAGAGTAGGGTAATATTTCGTGTAGACGATAAAAGGAGTAATATGAACGGTGGCATTAGTGAAGTTTTAATAGGTCTAGATTGGGCCGCAGTGGTAAGCTTTTAATTATCTTTAATTATTCAGGGGGTTTATAATAAATATAATGGCAACGTACCTTATTGACTATTCTTTTAATAGGCTCGATTTGGCTATATTATTTGTCATGTAACACTTACAATTTACATGCTTGCTACGAAATTATATGTTACTTATAATCCGGACCATCCTTTGATTGTTTCATTTCATGCTTCCAAAAAAACACTTACTCAATCATATTTTCGTAAAACTTTCTTATTGGTTTCTCAACCAATCTTCTTTTATACCCTCTATTTTTATCTCCTTGCGACCATAACAATGCCATTGTTTATAGGTAACATGGTGCCGTCATTACAGCAAGGTGGTTATGGCTTGTTCTGGCTATACGGTATTCAATTTTTCCATAATTTAAGGTGGCTACCATTAGCCGATACGTGGAGGCATGGTGCAACAGATTTTGTCTTTTCAATTATGACTGTTATAACTTGGTTTGTGGTTATTACAGGTGATAGGAGATGGAGAACAAAGTGGCTAATGTGGGGAATTGTACTTTGGCTATGGAGAGGAATTGAACTATATAAACTGTCACAGATATATGGGCATTTCGTCTTTTGGGCAAATATACAAACATTTTGGTGGCTCTTTTGGGGTTGGTATGGAATCTCAAAAGGAATAGTAAGCTAATTTTGATTTGTTTTTTTTCAAATGTATTATAAAGTTTTTTATTTTCTGTGACATGTTTATATAAATAGAACTTCAAATGTGTATTATTGTAAAGTTTGTGCATTGTTTCTATTTATATTTATATAGTGAATATATTGATTCACATTTATATTTGATGATATGTATATATTTGCGGTATTTTGGAAATATCCGATCTTTATATATTAAGAATAAGTTTATTCTATTAAACGTTAATCTATTACATCGTTATTCATGGAATCTCCCGGTTGCAAAACAACATTACTATTTGTAAACTTATGGCTAAAGTTGTTTGGAGATTTATGTATAGTATTATGTTTAATTCAGTTTTCACTATTAACATCTCGCATGAATTAAATTTTACTAATTCTATATTTATATTTAAAAAAATGTAATGCTGTGTGACAAAGTAAGGGTGGATTTAAAATCGAGGATTAAGACTAAAATAATTGACTTGTGCCGAACTAAAATTTTTAAATTTTTTTTGCAACGATATTTGTTTATTTGAAAGTTTTACATTAATGCATTGTTTCCGTAAGTATACTAGAATTCTGATTCTTTTTTGATCATTTACATTAACTTAGGTAAGTATAATAAAAATTTATTTAATTTTAGATATGCTGCTATATACTTAAGATGATATTTATACGTAGTTAATTTCACATGCCTCTTGGCCGAAATTAATTTAGAGTTTTTGACCCAAATGGTTAGCAACTTTGACCTTTGACCAAAATTATAAGTATATAATCTGTTATACTATTTAGATCACAATCAAAATCAAAACTGCTCCTTATATAGTTACTTTAGATATTTAAAGTATATGGCTATATATTCAAATATCCGAGGTTACACCATTTAAAGTATATAGCTACTTTAGATATCTAAAGTAGTTAAATATCTAAAATAGCCACTTCAGATATAAAATAGCTACTTCAAATAGATAAATCGCTACTTAAGATGCAACACGTGGAATGATTATAGATTTAGGTTGATTCCGAATAAAATATGTTGTAATAGAATTCTAAATTGTACTCGAGTTGTTAAAGAATTCAAATTAAACTTAAGTGGATTCTAAATTATATTGTAAATCTCTTAAGATTTACTAGGAGTTTGATTATAAGGTTTGTTGGTGTTTCAAAATAACGTATATGTCGCGTATCAGCCGATTTGCTGCAAGGATAATAATGTGATAAAAATTTGTATTTATTATAATTTTAATAATTTACATTAAATTTAACAATTTATTATATAGTACGTATATCAAATTCAGAATAAACTTAAGTTATTTCTAAGCATCAACTTGGGTTGCATTTTCAATCAAAGTAGATTCCAAATCTACAATAATTCTATTCCAACGTAGACATAAAATACTAGTTATATACTTTAATCACGTATATTATTATAATAACTTCAGGACAAAGTGAAAATTCAAAAACTAATTTACAGGTTTTCCCTTGGCATCACTCTATATAGATATCAAAAATAAGGTGCAAATTTAATTTGCAAGATAATTTTATGTTACACGTAGAAAACCATCAAAACCGGGCACAGATTCTAAAATCATCTTTTAGAGGTAGTGCAATTGAATTTTATGTTTTTGCTAATTAACTGCATTATGTTAATTAGACCGATATACTTAATATATTAACGCGACATCCGATTCATTTGAAATATTCATTGTATCTGCAAAAGAGTCCCGTAAGATATCACGTGTATTAATACTTGACCAATTTAGATAAATTGTGTTAAAATTTTGTCTTTGCGATCTGCATGGCTTTAGCTTTCTCTTTTTTTGTGGAATCCAAGAATTTGGTATTCGCAACATTGATTTTTAAAACTAATTGATTTATAACTTAAAATGAGTAATAATGGTTTCAATATACTGCAAGGGCAAAATGTCGACAAGGTTATACAACATTCTAACACGCAACTAAAATTTGAGATTGTTGAGACAGCCATTTATCACGATACTGATTATCGCGATTGGAAAACGACAAGATCTAGCGAACAACCAGATTTGATTGATCTTACATCAATTGAAGGTTATAGTTCATCCAATAAACTTCCGTCAGAAATAAGCGTTAGCCTTAAAGATCTTATCAGGTCTACTAAAAAAAATGCAATTGACCACAATAATCCTGAAAATACTCAAGGCACAGTAACCAAAGTTACGCAAGCATCCCAAAAATCAACACCAAACACTACTTCTAATCTAGGTGAATCCTCCAAAGACCAAACATTCAATGAAGCAAAAAAGGCATTACAGCTTTGGAGAAAGGATGAGAAAATCCACAAAGAATTACAAATAATAAAATCTCCAAATTCGGCCGAATTTTTTAAAATGACACAAGAAGAAATTAAGGCCAGAAAAGCAATAATAACTGATGCACAAGAAAAAATAAGGACGTGGATTTTAAAACTATGGCCACATCCTCGTACTCTTGGAATTAGACAAATGACAGAAGGGTTAACTGCTTTCACCTTAAAGAAACGATCTTTAAACCCTTCAGTAGTTGGAGTAAATATAATTATTCAATCAAAACCAATGATTTTAACTGCTACCGTTACTGGCACTAAATATGACCGTATCGAAAATTGTCATAAACCAAAAATTGTTATGGATATATTAGACTTACGACAATATATTCTCAAGCATTGTCCAACATATCAATGTCCACCAATTAAAAATAATGATCACAATAATCCATGGGATGATATCTATTTCCTGAATGAAATCTTACCAAAACTTACAGAAGAAGCTATAAGCATTCAAAACCAACCTGGATTATTTTTGACTGTTAAAGAAGCTATTATTCGTGGTTTGGAAGGATATAATTTATTTGAATGTAAATTATGCGCTGAGAATACTTCATATTATTCAAATTCTAGGTTCTTTCACCTTAAAGGAATTTATAAACATCTAGAAAGCAAAAGACATAATATTCATATTCGTAACGTTTATAATTATCACAACGAAGACTATATCCAAGTTAATCCTAAAGAATATGTCTTGGCTTTCTGCAAAGAACTTCCTCCAAAGATTCTTCCACTTGAAAGAAAACGTTAATTGGGAACTAACTTTTGCTTATAAATATGTTAACCTGTTTCCAATCAATCATGTTTAATTGAATTTTTTATGTATTTACAGTATATAAGTGATATCAAAATGTGAAAAAATTTTATGTATTATATGTAAATTTAAAATTAAAACATTTTAAAGATTTAAATGTGTTCTTTCTGAGTATATAATTACAATCACGCTTAAGGGGGTTATGATGGGAAAATAAAATGTATAGAAATCAAGGATTTTAAAATATCCCATTGCACGAGATAAAATAAATGTGAAACGAGATCTTTAAAAAACTTTCGTGTAAAAAACGAAGAAACGGAATAAACTCACCGGATATCGATTCTATCGATTCTGGAATTATATCAAAAAAAAGCAGACATTTTTATTTCCATGGTTTTTTTTTTTTTAAAAAAAAAAAGAAAAATATACATATAGATATAGCAAGTTCTATTACAATAAACTCGTTCATTCAAGTCTTTAAGATTAATAATTATATAACTCCTTAATTTTGATTACTACTTACCGAGTATTAATTGACGTCAATAGAATGGTGTATTATTGGATTTTTCTTATTTTTCTTACAATGTCTATTATGAAAGAAATGATAAATATAACGTAGGAAAAATGTTCCAAATTTTAAGCCTGTCTAATTTATGTACCGTTTCCTTAAACCTCCGTCTATTTGCCTCTATTTACATTGACCTATGTTTAGGCCATGTATAAAACTCATGTAGTTTTTTCAATAACCTTTCCAGTCTTTCGGTATGGTCATATCTTGTAAGATCATGTATATGATTATATTGTTCATTTTCTAATTGAAGTCTCGAAATATTCTTTTCTTGGTTTTTAATCCATTGAGGTCTCTCATCTTTTGATAATCGATTATAATTATTAAGTGTAGCTTTAACATCTTCGATTAAATACAAAGGTGGATCTCGTGGATTAGAACTGCGTTGAAGTTGTGTGAAGCATGATAAAAGAAAGTCATGAACATTCCATTCATTAAGCAGAGTATAACGGCTGCAAAAGCAATTTGCTATATTGTTAGTTCAAACTCAATAAAAAGAGACCGTTTAAACAATGTTAATTATGACAGAACAATTACCTAACGGTCCTATTATCCAAACACTTTTGACAGCAATACATTCTGAATTCCCAATACATTGTTAACTCAAACTTATTTCTCTCTTCACAAAACATACATTTTTTTAATATCAACATCAACCAAATATATTCTTGTTCTGACATTTCCGCAGGAGGTGTCATCGAGAGATTTGGAACATATTTTAATCTAGAATTTTTCCAGATTTCTTGTGTAGTGGTTGAACATCTTGACCATAACAAGTTTCTATATCGTTTACAAACAGATGCCAAAGAATATAAATCGACTGGATGAAGGTATCCACAGATTTCGATCAAAATCTCTGAGGGAAGTGTCTGTGCTACTTGTGGCGTTATAACATTTAATGATGAAGCAGTGGATGAGGATGAAGACGGGGACGAGGATGAAGATAAATTATAAAATTGGTCTTCATCGGAATTTGCAGAATTGTGTGCGGATGACCTATTGTTAGATATGTTGGAATTACGACGAATGGATGAACCGAATGGGTCAAAACAATTGTATCGACCAAGTTTTGTTAATATCATCTTCTTTAAAAGTATTGAAGTAGAATAGATTTTGAGTTAAGTGATGTTTGTAAAGGCGTAAAGCAAGTATTAAATACTTCCGACTTCCTGCATATATGTGATGATTGGCCCTGTACCGATACGTAACCCTAGTCACAATTATAATGTTGATCAGTCAACAAAGCCAATGCACTTAATACAGTAAGTGCATCGGATCACTTGTGTTACTTTTTTTATAGAATAAATTTAGTAGGAATAGAAAATTGTTATTGGTATTACAATACAACAATTAATCACAGTTGTAAACTATATTTTGTATTTACTATTAATTAGCAATATATCCACACATAATTTGTTTTAAAAAAAATATACTTTCGCTTATACAGTACTTTCGTTTATATATACAGTATATATCTAATTTTAAATATGTATATTACCTGCCATTTCTAATACGTATCTATTACATTATTGCCATACCATAATTTATACCAAATAAAATAATCAATCAATTATATACAGTATGTTAATTTAGTGAGTTATAACCTTGAATTTCTTAATATAGGTAATGTTACTTTATAGTCAATTGATTAATAATTTACCGATGGGTCAATTATTTTTTTTTTTTATCTATCGGCAGCCTCGCCGGTATCTTTATTAGGGATGTTAAATTGATCTGTCGATCTGATCTAACAGACCGATCTGGATCAATGACGTCACATGATTTAAAATTAA